GGCAAGCACACTGCCCGCTGTACTACCACTCCAGCCCTGAGGATGGTGGTCTTAAAAATGTCTTACTGTTGGGCTGGAGAAATAATATGGGAGGTACTTGCCTTATAGGCAGCTGCATCAGCCACAGCCTAGGTTCAGATCACCAGCATCACAAATGGTCTCCTGAGCAAAACTAGGTGTCAACTCGAGTATAAAGCCAGAAATAACCCCTGCACAGTGCTATGTGTGGCCCCAAATCAAACAGAAAAGTAGTCTGCTATATAATGAAAATTGTCTGTTCCCTTTATACAGTAAAGAAAACCTATTACTTTTTCTCCTAGGAATAATGAATGTGCGTTTAATGTGAATGAACCTGCCATGTCCAAATTAGAAGCAATGCTTGGTAAGTACAGTTCAATAAAATATAATGGGTTTCACATTGTAATGATCAACTTTGTAGTAAGGCAAGCAACTATACTGTAAGACAGAAAACACTTTATCAAAATGAATAATAGAGGAATCTTCTTAGAAGACCCTCTTTCATACTATTGGAGGCCACCTGCTCTTTTCCTTTATGTGAGCTGAAGCAATAGCACAGCGGTAGGGGGTTTGCCTTGCACTCGGCTGGCCCAGCCCAGCCAGGTTTGATTTCTCTGCCGCTCTCGGAGAGCCCAGCAAACTACTGAGAGTATCTTGCCCTCAGGGCAAAGCCTGGCAAGCTACCCATGACGTATTCGATAGGCCAAACACAGTAACAAGTCTCACAATGGAGACATTACTGGGCCTGCTTGAGCAAATCGATGAACAACGGGAGGACAGTGCAGTGCTACAGTGCATTCCCTTAAATAAGATCTAGTTTGAAATTAGATAGGAGGGTGAATAATAGGGTTTTAATATAAACGGATAATGATATCATCTAGAATTTTCCCAAGGCATTTAAGAAGAAAGTGCAATGAATATTTACAAGAAGAAGTATCAAATATATTCCAATATAACTAATAGGAGTTTGAGATCTACACCCTCCACATTTAATCTTGATGGACAATGCATAAGAAATACCTTTCATTTTATTCTTTCTCATTTTCTTTCCTCTTTTCCAGATGAAGGATCTGGGTTAGTATCACATAGATTTTCTAAATATAGAAATTGGGGGCTGACATCTTTGAGGGAATAATCCAACCTTTAATATTTTCACATCCTATATAAGTTTAAAAAGAAATAGGCCATCCTCCAAAGGCAGGGTTATTTGTTTATGGTATACAGTAAGAATTAACTCTCTTGATTCTTTTTCTATGCCCTAAATGGGGGGTGGAGTGGGAAGAGGAATATTATTATGTATGTGTGTGTGTGTATGTGATATACAAGAATACTTCTCTAGGAAATAGCTGGGGTAACTTTACAAAGAAGGCAAAGTAGATATTAGTGAACGCTAGATCATTGGGTGGATATTCTTAAAAGTACTATTGTACTTAATCCTAATACAGTACATTTGTCAAACATGCATGGAAAAAAATTTGGTTTTGAAATTAGGGTCACACCAGGGTGGGGCATTTGCTAAAGGGAGAAAAAGAGAAAGGCAAAGGAATGGTTGAAATAGATAAAGTGAAAGTGCTGGCTTTATGTTCAAGAAAATAGTATGGTTGAAATCTTCATTTGTTCAGTAAACATGAGTGGATTCAAATCCTGGCTCTCCTCCTTAAGGGGGTGGTTGCTATCTTGTCCATCCAACATCTTTAAGATCTGCTGTTTCGACTGTAAATGGGTCTGGTGTTTATGTGCCTGAAAAATGCTATATAATGTCGGATGTTTCTTTTTCTTGTCAGTGACTTAACCAATTGTAGAGAAAAATTGTATGCCATTTCATAAACTCTCTTTCCTTTTTTTTTGTTAATTAGGTGGTAAGATCCCAGTAGGAAAACAAGCAACTGCAAAACTTTAATGATCCATTATGGAGGTGTGATTAGATAACTGCTGTCATGCATGAACTCACGATTCATCATGAATCACAAGATAGCCAAGTAAAAGAAGTGACCTGTTGTCTCATTCTTCATAAGATTTTGAAAATGTAGAGAAGAAGTGATGAATTTAGTCAGTCTGTACTCACCACCACAGTGGTCTATAAGGCATTTGTATCAATTCAGTGTGTTTTAAAATAAAAGTCTTGAAAACATGTTTGGAATAACAGGACCTAATTCTACATCTGTTAAACTTTTCTACTATTGTTGGGATTAAAGTGTGCAACATGAACACTACAGGCTGGCTATTTGTAAAAAAAAAAAAAATAAAGAAAAGAAAAGAAAAGAAAAACAACTACTCAATGGGTATATGTTACACTTCTTTGGATTTTCTTTAAAGTTGCATCAAACAGTACAAGTTTCTCAGATATATAATAAATTAGCTACCTTACATTAAATGTTGCCATCTAAACCTTAAACTAATAAAACTGGGTTAAAGAATATGTGTACCAAAGAGAAATTATGAATATAGCATAAACAGAATTCAAAGAAGGAAAAGTTTGGAATCTGTTTTTTGAATACCCAAACTCTTCCCAAATGGCCATCTCTGGAAGGACATTTAAGCTGAGAAGTAGGATGAAAAGGAATCAACTCGTAAAGATGTTGTTTTGACACAGAAAAAGACAGAGGGTGTTTGTACAGACAAGAATAATTGGAAAATTCTGATGGTTCTGGAACTGAGAGGGCATTATGACAGACAAGAGTTGCAGATAGCAGGGCCTGGGGGGGTAGTACCGCCAGGTAGGGCACTTACACATAGCTGACATGAGTTCAATCCCCAGCACCCCACGTGGTCCTCTAAGCACTGCCAGGAGCAATTACTGAATGCAGAACCAGGAGTAACCCCTGAAAACAGCCAGATATGACCAGAAGAGCAAAACTTTAAAAATAAAGTTGCAGATGGGTGGCTAAGACAACAGGAATTTGTTTTCTCAGTTTCAGAGATTGGAAGTCTTCAGATCAGGGTGCCAACAAAGCAGCTTTCCTCTTGAGACTTTTTCTGGACTTGTAGGAGAATGCAATCAATGTGTGTTCATTTGTTTGTACATATTGGGGAACATAAATCTGCCACCTCTCAATATGTCTAAGAAGTTTTCTTGGAAAGGACACTGGAGTTTGGGTGCAGGTCACTCTTAGGAAGAAAAAAAAGATGTTTAAGGGTCTGGAGATAGTTCAATGGATGGAGATAGCTCTACTTGCAGGGCTCCAGGTTTAGTTCCCAGTACTACATGGTCCCCTGAGTAGGAGCAACCCCCAAGTGGTTGTGACCCCCACACTTTTTTTTTTTTGAGGGGGGACACACCCAGTGGTGCTCAGTGCTTATTCTTGGCTCTGCACTTAGGAATTACTCTTGGCAGTGGTTGGGGACGTCAGCGTATGGTATATGGAATGCTGAGGATCAAACCCAGGTCAGCCTCGAGCAAGGCACGTGCCCTATCCTCTTTACTGTCTCTCTGGCCCAGCCATGTGCGTGCGCTCACACTCACACGCTCATTTTTATCCTGGTGGATTGTGTAATATTTATTGAAAAAAAAGAGCGAGAAGGAAGAGAGTGGAAAGTAGTGAAGGAGAGAGGAAAAAACCATTAAGATTTTTCAGGCTCTATAAGAAACACAACTCTTTCTTCTCAGATTCCCCACAGTACTGTTAACACATTTGCCCCCCTTCATTTACAAAGTATGCATGTAATCTTTTCATTTTTAAAAATCATTTTTTGCCACCCCCTTTTTGATCTAAGAATTTTAAAAACATTGTGGACACATTAATTCTCCCAAGCCTGATGACCATATTAGACATCCTTTTTTCATTTCTCCTTTGGCAGCCTGATACTCTCTCATCTTCCTCCTTAGCCTTTCCACAACCATATTCAGTACTTTCATATTTTTACCTTCACAATTATTCACTCATTAGCCCTATGAAAGATAGGGCCAGTTCTTCCCATCAGCATAGATACTTTCATAAATTCTTGATGTGGAAATTAGTTTCTAACTCAGAAAAGTTTGTTTGTTGCTAAGAAACTTTGAGAGAAGCGATCAGAAAATTTAAAAAAAAACATTTTTAAAAACCTAAGAAAATTGTCAGTATTGTCCTGCCCACCCACATTAGTAAATTTGAGGCCTTGAACTCAATACTTGACCCCCACCTTCATCCCTTTCACTTGCTTGTAGTACTGCTTACTAGGAGTCACACACTTTATTTTTATTTGTGGTGCCAGAGAGGGAATGCAGAATCTCACACATATGTAGCAGGAACTCTAACTTAGGTTCACATCCCTGGTCGGTAATAAATATCTTTAAACCAGCTATGTGACAGTTCTCCCAGTATCCACAAACTGCTTTTAAAAAACAGATCCTGGGGCTAGTGGGTAGGTAATTTGCCTTGCATGTCGCAGACCTGGGTTCTATGTCTGGCACCTCATATAGTCTTCTGAGCCCACCACCAGGAGTGATCCCTAGCAAGAAGCCAGGAGTAGCCCTGAGTACCACCAGGTGTGCCCCCCCCCCACAAAAAAAAAAAAACAGATCCCTGGGGCTGGACAGAGAGTACAGTGGATTGGGCACTTACCTCGCATAGGCCAGCCTGGGACTGATCTCTGGCACTTAAATTGTCCCCCCCCGATTTCCTCCAGAAATGATCCCTGAGCACTGATTCAGGAGTAAGCCATGAGCACTGACAGGTGTGATCCCAAAGCTGACAAAATATAATCTTGTATTTTTTAATTCTACTGGCCTCGGTTATATGTACTAAATCATATTTTCATTAAGAGGCATAAAAGATATAAATCCTACTTTATGGAGAAAATTCACATTTCAGATAGTATGAAAAACATTTCAGATAGTATAAAAAGATCTGATTTATTCTCAATTCTGATAGCAGAACACATACCAGTCAACTAACAACTTCATATCAGTCCTAAATGAAACAAAAACAACCCAATACTTTTCAAACTATTTCAATAACAAGAATACAGAAGAGTAAATTCTTATTAAAAAGAAATAAAACATATCAGTTTTATCCAGTGTAAAAAATTTTAAGCTTTATTTTGACAAAACATTTCAGACTCTCATGTCACAGCATATCAATAAGCAATATACATATACTATTTTTTATACTATACGTCAAGTCCAAAATTCTGTCATAGGCATATGAGTTGCAAAATATAAGTGCTGATAACTATAGGTAGTATTTTAAATAAAAAAATAAGTGAGTATTCAGCACATAAGTGAAATGAGGCTTTAATCAAAAAAGACTTAATTCCACAGGGTGTAGTTTTTCATCAGCAATTAAATCAAGTCTGTGATTTCAAGCTCAAACAATAGTGTTGTTTGCAGCAAGTAAGAAAAGGCAATTAACTCCTAAGTGGTACATTAAATATGCAATATATTTCTGGACAATTTCTAATAGCATTCAAGTTTTAGAACTTGGAGTTTAATGAAACAAGAATTAGAGGGAAAAAACTGAATCTTTTTTGAGGAAGGTAGTGATAATTGCCATCTTGGCATTAAAATACATTAATAATATTGGTGATTTTTAAATTGACTTCCTCACAGACTGATTCACCAAAAGTGTATTCAGCTATAATCTGATTAAGGAACACACAAAATTTAAGAGAAAAAATGTCTACAGTTCCAGTATTAAAAAGATATTATGAAACAGCAAACATTTAAATATGAGTATACACTTTAAATATGAGTATACACTTCATGTCTTGTTTTGATTTCAAGAACCCAGAATTATGTATTTACAAATACAAATACAAATACATTTAATACAACATACTTTAAAACACTAATCGGCAAAAAAGTAGCAAAAAAAAATTTTTTTTTTATCAAATTCAAGTTTCCAGTGATCTTAAAGACAAAACTCTTAACTGCTTTTGTACCATCAATTTGAGGTTGAGGTTGTTACACAGAAAACCAAAGTTTGTGAAAAAAAAAAAAATAGTCAATCTGTAGCTTTGATAATTTTAACCTTTTAACTACATGTAAATAAAAACAAAAGGGTTCACCAGGACATATGTTAATCAAGTAGCTTTACAAACCCTAAGCCACTAAGAAGTTATTTTATGTTTTACATCATTTTCTCAGTCTTAATACCACTATTTTTTTTCAGATAAAAGAAGCAATCTTGAAGCCATGAGGATCAGAAATGGCACTTCTGAACAAAAATCACAACTAGAAATAATAAGGGGAAAATAGACCTTGGTGAACACAATTTCCTTCAAAGTATATAATCAATACAAATAGAAGCAACAGTTTTAAAACTCTTGGGAAGCCCACATTTCTTTAATTTTACTAAATAGTAAGTGCTTTATGCACTTCTAAAAAAACAAAACAAGAAAAATAAAGTCTAAAACAATAACAATGCAGAGCATTTTAGCAGTTGTCAAAGGATCATGTTCTGTGTTAGGGACATATTTCAATTTTCTGTTCTCTACTTTGTTACAACCTCCCACCACCCACCCCAACCCTCAAATAAATTAAAACCAACCCTCAAATAAATCCCTGTTCAAAGGAATCAAGAATGAAAATAGGATGGGGGTTGCATATGATTTTTCTAATTTCCCATTCTCCCATACCCTGAAATCTTAATACATACTTTTCTCCTATTTGGCTCTCATTCCGAATTGAGCCACTATTTAATTTATACCAAAAGTGGAAGAGGACAGCTAAAATCACTGGCTTTGCCAGATCCTACGTGTCCCATTTAAAAAAAATCATTAAAACATGACAGGGGCTGGAGAGATAGTATAGTGGATAGGGCCCTTTCCTTCCTGGGTTTGATCCCCTACATCCTATATGGTCGCCCAGCACCATGAGGAGTTATTCCTGAGTGGAGAGCCAGGAGGAACTCTTGAGCATTGTTGGTATAGCCCCAAAACAACAAAAAATATGACAAAGTTCCAGATAGAAATTCACACAATTGAGGAATAGCCTGAAAAATTTACCAGTCCCAAATGGTAAATTTAAACAATCCTAAATCCAGTATTAGCTGCTCTCAGCTTAAGTAATAAGCTATTCTAGCTATTAAGTTTATAGTACTGTTTTTATGAAAGCTTATTTTTTTTTTTAAAAAATTACAGTTTTTGGGTCAGATCCGGCAATGCTCAGGGGTTACTATGGTTCTGCACTCTGTTCTGGTAGTGCTCATAGGACCATTCGGGATGCCGGCGATTGAACCTCAGTCAGCTATGTGCAAGGCAAACACCCTATGCACAGTTCTATTGCTGAGGTTCCCTTCTTATTTTAAAAGGATGGAAGTATTGGAGTTCACACATTAGCTGTTTCAAAAGGAATGTTTTTGACTAAATTAAATTCTAAGACCAACTTTTTACATTCTTTTCGCAAATTGTTACATTTCAAAGTGGTGAAATGTAATGAAACAAGGTATTTTATATGGTGTTAAGAAACCTAGCATTTGAGTAATTGGGACACTTTCCACAATGTATCTTGTATTAAAAGTTACTGCTCTCTTACACAATATATACTGAGAAAAACTACATTAGGACTCTGCAATAAGCTGAAATGCTATAGTGTGACAATACATTCATTACAGACAGCATAACTTAAAAAAAAAGTTTCAAAATTGTTTGGCCTCAATATAAGCTTTTTCTTCATTTTGGATTTCGGAGAGGGTAACTTTAAGTACACTGTGTGTGAAACTATAAAGAATATGCTAATGCAACTTAATATAAACACACACACACACACACACACACACACACACACACACACAGTCCAAGCATCAGACCACTGACATTGTACTCTCAGGATTTACACGAATAAGTCTAGATGCATTCCTCAGATCTTGGAGTTGCTTTGCAGGTTTCCCCACACCTTCTTCAAACCTTTTCTCAACCACAGGGAGGACTGTTTCATAGAGAAAGGATGCATTCTGTCTAATAAAAGCTTTCTTCTCTGGATCCTGTTCACACCGAAGACTATAATCCACATGTTGAACAGCAACCAAAATGATTTCTACCAGACTTTCCAGAAGTACCATGTGTAACTCTGGGAAATACAGCTTCAGTGCCTCTTCCAAGAAGCCCATAGTCTGCTTGGTGAAAGCAACCACTGTATAACTTAGGTTCACCCAGCAGTCATCCCCTGTATATTGCTCAAAATTACTCACCCCACAGCTCTTCATCTCTTCTTTAAGTTTACCCAGGGCTTCTGGAGTCATCAAGTTCATCCTCCTCCACATTTCCTCAGAATTACGATGTTTAGTGGCTTCAATTATGATTTCTTTGTAACTGTGCAAAGCCCCTTGGATGTCTTTCACCAGAAGGGCGTGGATGATGAAGGTGAGGTCTAGTCCAATATCACCCAACTGCTGACAATGCTCTTTTGCCACTTTTACACATTCAGCAGCTGTAGAGAGACTTTCCTTACTATCAAACACTTGCTTGCTAAATGCGTCTACAAACATGCCCATGGCTGATCTTGCCCAGACCACAAAGGCAGAGTAGCATCCACTGTCAGTGCCTGCAAAATCGGTCTCAAATTCCCGTGCAGTCTCAAGCAGGCTAGTAAAGAAGACATGACACAACTTATGAATGTAGAGCAAAGTGGCACCTTCAATTCGAAGCTGACGGATAGCAGTGTGTACGGCTGCTGCTCTATTTCTCAAAAATAGCTCACAAGCCTTCGTGCACTGGCCAAGGCGTATGAGCTGAGAAACTGCCCTTCGAGTTGCCTTGGGACCACCTCTGAGAGAACGATCTGGGGAAAGCTCAAAAACTAGAACTTCTGTGAGCTGTCGGACACGCTCATCCACTTTAGCCCTTAGTTCTTTCACAGGGGGTGGACTGGGCTTATCTTCCAGATAATGGTTCAACTTATCCAGCAGGTCGACTGCCCCTTCAAAGTCCCTCTGGGCAATACACACATCCAGGTCTTCAGGCAACTCTTGGATCCATTCCATGGAGAGGTCCACCTTCTCTTCTTCTACCTCAGGAACAGCCGGCTCATCTTCTTCTTCCTCAAATGGATTACTGGTCTTAACAGTCACCTGGGGTGGCGCTCGAGGGGCCGCCGCCTCCTCCTGCTCCCTTCTTCGTTTCTCACTAAGGGCCCTTTTAGTTTCCTCCAAAACTTCCAGCCATTCGCGTTTGATTTTAGCATTTTCTGCCTGAAAGATACGGCTTTCAGGAAACATGAGCAGCTTGAACATGTCCTTCATGGGTGGGTTGTCCTTGACATTGACCACTGCCAAACCATCTAATGGATAGAGGGCGTTGTACCGATACATCCCCCGCCGCTGTGGCAGCCAGGTGGCCACCAGCAAGCAGTCATTCATAAGAAAGCCGTGCACTCGCTGCAGCTGGGCCATGTGGTCGGCCTCGTACTCCACCAGGTCTCCGTTGTACACCAAGTATTGTCCCGGCGTCTCCAGCAGGTGCCTACAGCCTTCCACCTTCTCAAGCAAGGTGGTGAGAGTACGCTGCTTTCCTTCTTCGCCGGGACCGGAACTGTCGCGGGAGGCGACACCCGGGGACGGGAAAAAGCCGGCCTGGCTCCGACGGTGGTCTCGACCCCCAGCACCACCTCCTCCTTCCTCCCCTCCAGAGGCCGCGGCGGCCCCCGCGGCGACGGCGGCGGCGGCAGCTGGCAACAGCGTAAGCGGGATGCTCTCCAGGCTACTCTTCTGCTCGGTCAGCAAATGGCTGAGCTGATACATCTCGCTCTCCAAGTAGGAGATCTCGCGGGCCGTCTCTATAAACTGCCGATAGTTTTGGTAGACGTTGCGCTTCAGATTCTGCGCGGTCTCCTCCGCTAGCGCTTGGATGCGTTGCCGGTGTTCCTGCAGGTCCCGGTCCCCGTCAGACTGCTGTGAGAGCTGCTTCACGTACAATCGCGCCTCAAAGCCTCCGGATTCTAACTGCCGCCGCAGGCGGTTCGCCCCGCTGTCCGACATCGTCATCGCCATCCTAATTCGGGTATGAAGCAGTCCCTGTCACTATCGCCGCCGCCCGTGCCGCCGCTACGGAAGCTCACCGAATCCCGGCTAAGATCCAGAGTTGAGGAAGCAGGCTGGAAAAGACGAGCGCGCCTGCGCGCCTGCCGGGACTGCAGACAGTGCGCCTGCGCACGGCGTGGAGCGCAGAAGGCGCGTGCGCAAGAACGCCGGCGTCTTAGAGCGCATGTGCTGAAGGCGCTATATAGGAAGTAAGTGAAGTGCTAGGCAGCGAGGTGATCGTAGTGCGCATGTGCCGGGCGTGACGTTCGTATTTTAGTTACGGCGGGGTAATAATTTACTTCCGGAGACTCGGGGCAGAGCACGGAGGACCCATGTTTTGAGCCCATTTGGAGCTGTTCTTTTCTAAGCCCCAGAATCTTGTTTTTAGTCTTTTAGGCAAACTCGGTTCTCGTTCTCGAGCTACTTTTTCCGGAGTTCTCGCGAGATCTGCAGACTGACTCGAGAACTGACTTGAGAGCCGGTACCTCCTAGCAGCTCGACTTGGCCTTATCCTAAAGTGAGCTGAACGCTGACAGGCTCTGGAATTCTGGCAGCGATGGATGAGGACTTGGTTTTGGCACTGCGGCTTCAAGAAGAGTGGAACTTGCAGGTCGCGGAGCGCCCTCACACTCAGGAGCCCTTGTCGCTGGTGGACGCGTCTTGGGAGTTGGTGGATCCCACCCCGGATTTGCAGGCCCTGTTTCTGCAGTTCAATGATCAGTTCTTCTGGGGCCAGCTGGAGGCAGTCGAAGTGAAGTGGAGCGCGCGAATGACCCTGTGAGTCTCGAGCCGCATTGGAGGAAAAAGCCGGACTGGTAGCTTTTCGTCCGCCCGTTCCCCTATACCTCTCGTTTTTGTCCTCATTCCTTTGGTTTTGGGTCTGGCAGCCCCTCCTCGGGCAGTTCCTCCTGTCATTTTATTTCTCCCTTCGTCACTGTGCGTTTTCCGCTTAGACAGGATGCGTGCCCCACCCATCTTAGACTGCTAAGGGACCTTACTTGAAACTAAGCCACTACACGTCTGACTTACTGCATGGCGATTCTTCAGGTGAAGCCTGTTGAGTGTCTTCCCCGAGTGTGTTGAAATGTATTAATTACCTAATTGTGAAGCGTATTAAGAGTTCTCCCAGCGCGAACTGCGAAAGAGTTATGTAAGCGTTTACTCTTTCAACTTTCTGACCCTTTCTTGCATAAATAAACATATTTAAAGAAGCTATTGATAATTGAGTTTTAGACATAATGTTCTAGTACCAACCCCACCATCAGTGTCAACTTCGCTCTACCAGTGTTCCAGAGTTCCCTTCCCCAAATCCCCATCTTGACCGGCACGTTTTATTGTTTGGTAGTTGTAATTTGGATCTCATGTTTTCAGTGTTGTTGAGTCTGTGTTTTGGATATATGTCTATACCACTCCCCCACCTAACCAGTGTACCCGAGGCCTCTGATCCTTGCTACACATTATATTCCCTTTCCCATCTTCTTCCCTCCCCCACCCCTCGATTTCTTTATTTCTCTGTCTTTCTCCCTATACTCTAGGGTCATCTGGAGGCATCTCCCCTTTACTACATCTCCCATTTACTCGTTCAATTAATTGTATACCACAGGTGAGATCATCCTAAACAGCACATTTTTATGGTGATTATATTTCAGGTGTGCTGGCATATGCAGCTATGAAGGAAGAGGTGGAATGTGTTCCATCCGCCTCAGTGAACCCCTTCTGAAGTTGAGACCAAGGAAAGATCTTGTAGAGGTACTCTAAGCATTTAATCCAGCATTTAATTTAATTCAACTGCTGTTCCAATTTGTGAAGTAGTCAACAATTAGGGCTCCTTGCACGTTTATTTAGCTGATCCTATTCCTTTTTTCCTGCTTGTTCCTTGGGTTACCGAGAGTGTCATGTTAACATCTGCAGCTATGTATGGAGGGGTTTTCTGGTTTTTTTTGTTTGTTTGTTTTTTTTGGTGAAGCAAGACAGTTTTTATTGAAACTTAGATGATACGAGGGGAGAGAAAATGAAATGTGTTCAAGAGAGAATACGGGCTTCTCCAGAGTGGAAATAAGCAAAAAGAAACAGAGAAGAAAAAGAAGTACCTTTTGAAGGGAAAACATGGTCTTGAAGAATAAGCCTTTTTTGTTTGTTTTTTGTTTGTTTGTTTCTGTTTTTTACTGAGTGCAGAAGAGATTTTATTTAAGGTTTTTTAGGGATTAGAAAGCCTCTAGTATGAAAGGGTATGAGAGGGGGAATTCTAAGCAGGGTTTCTGGATTATTTCTTTTTGCTTCTGTAAATTTAGTCTTCATGTAGTTTAAAGCTGTGCTTTAAGTTTTTATCCCAACTATGATTCCCCTTCTGACCTTGTTTTCTTTTTCTTTTTCTTCTATTCTTGTTTCCTTCTTGTGGGCACCCCCATCCCCACTCCATGGGTTTGTTCCCTAGTCTCCTGCATTGGACCCCCATTTCACTGATTTTCACTGGTAGCACCCCTTGCTTGATTCCCCCCCACCTAGGACTGTTCTGGGAGCCATGAGGGTCATATGCCTCTGGTTGAGAAACATATTTTAAAGTATATATCTCAAGTATGAAATGAGCATTAGGGTTTTTTTTCTGTTTTAAAATGGCTCATGGGGGGCGGGGAGTGGAGCCATAGTATAGTGGGTAGGGCGTTTGCCTTGCACTGGCCTACCTGGGTTCAATCCCCAGCATCCCATATGATCCCCAAAGCACCGCCAGGAGTAATTCCTGAGTGCAGAGCCTGGAGTAATCCCTGAGCATGGCTGGGTGTGGCTCAAAAAGAAAAAAAAATGGTACATAGGGAGTGGGGCAGAGAGATAATACAGTGGGCAGGACACTTTGATCCCAGACACCCTATATGGTCTCCTGAGCTCTGCCAGGAGTGATGCTTGAGTACACAGTCAGGAGTAAGTGTGAGTATTGCCGGGATATAGCCCCCAAATCAAAAATAAGTATATACATAAAGTTGTAGATGTAGGTTGGAGAAATAGTACAGTGGGGAGGGCACTTGCCTTGCATACAGCTGACCAGAGTTTGATCCCTGGCACCTCCCCTGAGCCATGCCAGGAATTATCCCTGAGCCAGGACTAAGCCCTGAACACCAAAAGGTCTGCACACCTCCCCTCCTTCTTCAAATTTTACATCATTTCAAAATTTTATTGTTACAGAACTATACACAGAAATGTTCCACTTCAGTTTTCTATTCTGAACTTTACACCTAGGTTACTTTTGTTGTCTTTCATTGTACTGTATTACAAATGTTTTATAGCTACTTTAATTTTTCCTCTCCATCACATAACACTGTGTACATCTATTACCTTATTTCTTAAAATAATATACTCTATGGCCAGAGATAGTACAGTGGGTGGGTGCTTACCTTGCATACAGTTGACCCGTATATGATCCCAGCATCCTCCATTATCTCCCAAGCACCACCAGGAGTAATTCCTGAGCACAGAACCAGGAATAACCCTTGAGCACCAGGATTATTACTGGACTGGGTATGACCCAAAAATCCAACACCTGCCCCCCCCAAAACAAACCTGGTATACTCTGCTTTTCCAAGTCATTTAATAATAATCTTTTTCATTTTGAATTTGACTGGAATTCCTTTATGAGGACCTATGTTCAGTTCAACCAGGCCTTTATCGCTAAATTCTCATTTCTAGTCTGTGGGCATTATAACAGTACCACAATGCAAATATTATATGGTAGTCTAAGTATTGTTGCATCAAAGGATAAATGCATTGTTAGATATTATGAAATTTTCCTTAATAGTTCTATCATTTTGCCAATGATAAAAGGGAATTGTTAACTGTTTTCTTATTACTAAGGGCACTGAACTTTAGTAATTTTATTAATTTTGATACACAACAATTACAAGTAACTTATTTTTTATAAAGCTGAATATTTTTTAATTATTTTATTAAGTAGTTCACAATATTTCATTACATTTAATATTAAAATACCAAACCCACCACCATCACACCTTCCCACCACTATATTTCAAATGTTTCCATCCCAAACCCCAATTCCTGACCCAAAATAGAACCAAAATAATATATTTTGTATTGTTATGAAAAACCACTGAAAATGTTACAAAAAAGTATCCTGAGAGGAAAGAGGTTGTTCTATTTCACCCAGGAGCCTCTAAGCCCTTCTATAAGTGATCACTAACATGTTAAAGGTTGTAAAGTTGAATATTTTTAATATTTTATCTTTCTACTGTATTTGACTATAGTTGAAAAAGTCTTTCCTAGGACAGGGAGTTCTTTGGGGACTTTGTTCCCTTCATGCAAAGCTTGAGTCTAATGAATTGAGTCTAATGAGTTCTTTGTTTTTGCTTTTTGTGGTACCAGAACTTGAACCCAGGTATTGAACCCACTTTGCCACTGAGACACATCCTCAAAATTATATGAGTTGTGCTTATCTAATTTTTCTATTAAGATGGTTCTTTATCAATTTCTGAGAAGTGTCTCAGATCCAAAGAATGTTAAGAATCCAGAGAGTAAGAAAATACATTTTTATTTTCAAAAGTCCCATAAACAAATTTTTTTTTTTTACTTTCAGACACTATTGCATGAAATGATACATGCGTATTTATTTGTTACAAATAATGATAAAGACCGGGAAGGGCATGGTCCAGAGTTTTGTAAGCATATGCATCGCATCAATCGTCTGACTGGAGCCAATATTACGGTATGTGAAGCCTTACACATTTACGATATTTAGTATCCTACCCCCCCCACTACTTCCCCCGGAATTTCTGATATTTAATTAATCCAGAGACCCTGGATGCTTGCTCTTGGAGCATCCTGTGTTCTGTTCACATGTACCTCTAGCTTGGCTCTGTTTCTTTGCTTGCTTGCATTTTCCACTCTCAAAAAACCCATGTTCACTCTTGAACATATATTTCCTTCCTTCCTTTCCTCTCACATCTTTCTTAGTTTCGTTCAGTAAAAACTACCTTGCTTCATTAAAAACAAAACAGATGCCTGTTTTGGGTAGAAATAAATATTATCTTTAAGGATTTCCATAGCAACTGAGAGGTCTTGAGAAGCCGGATGACTCTAGAACCATAGAGTGAATTGGTGCAGAACCATCAAAATCCTTAAGGCCTTTGTTGTGGAGCAACATTTTATGCTTTGTTAGTTTAGGCCTATAGTACGCCTCGTGGATTATCAACGTTGTTTCTTGACTGTATTCTCCATCAGTCCATCCTGTATTGCTTCTATATTTTCAGTATTGTGATTCATATTTCTAATACTGTAGAACAGAGTCAGGAGTCAAAAAAGCATTAGGAGGGACAAAAGCCATAATAACAATGGGTAGGGCTCTCAATCCCTGGTACCTCATAGTATTCCCTGAGCTCCACCAGAGTAACCCCTGAGCACAGACTCAGGACTAAGCCCTGAGCATCGCTCGGTGTTGCCCAAAAACAAGCAAATGGCTTGAGGAGGGGCTGGAGAGATAGTATAGTGGGTAGGGTGCTTGCCTTGCACATGGCAAACCTAGATTTAATTCGCATAATGGTGCTCCAAGCAACATAAGGAGTGATCCTGAGCATAGCCAGGTGTGGTCCTGAAAACTGAAAAGAAAAGCGAAAAGGTGTGAGGAATTTGACTGGGTTCAGTCTGGCTCCACTGATTATTAAATGTGGGACATATGTAACTCTCCTGCACTTCTGTTTATTCACACAGTTACTTACAGTTCCATGTTTGGGGGACTGGGTGTGATGCTTGAGGTAGAAACTGGGTCTTGAAGGGAGATGTGATCATGGGGGCCATGGGGCCAGACCGCAGCTCTGAGGGTGAGGAAGAAGAGGAGGGCAGTTGACTCTCGTGGAATTGTCAGGAATTACTGATTCAGATTTTCTTTCAAAATGTGAAAATAAATGCAAGATTCTGGTGAGTGTTCTATTTGAAGATGGGTGTGAAATTTAATGTAAAAATGAATGGGGCACCTTTGGCGCCATGTAAGTTCTATCACCAGCCAAGATCCAGACTCAGACATCTAAAATGTAATCTCTAAGAAGTAGAGTTCTCCTAGATCCCGCACAAGGCTGAGTTGTTGTACTGGGGCAACCCAGAGGGAGGCTAATGAACCCTCACACCGCCCAAACAGAGCCCCGGAAACCAAAAACCTCCACATCCCACAATTGCTGCCATACTCCCTCCCAGACCCCACTGCTCAGACAAGCCTCATTCAGAAATGAATTTGTTTATACACTCAGGTATGCAGGTTTAGTGATTGAAATCACCAGCTTTCAAGTTTTTAAGAGTCGGGTATGTATTCACTAAAGAAATTATGAAGGGGCCTCGCACGGTGGTTCTCTCTCTCCACCGCCCGAGTTCGGTAGTCTCATGCCGCTTGCCCCACCCTGGGGAGGTCGGTGGTGATGAGTGAACAAGGAGGAAACGAGGGCCAGGTTGGTTGGTCTCAAGTGCAGTTTGTTCCAATCTCATCTCCATTCACTTCTGATTCTCCCTCTGCCTCTTCCTCCTCCATGCTACTTAATTCTCCTTCTAGATCCCCCTTCATTCTCCTTCTGGCTCCTACTTCATACTTCTTCTCACTCCCCCAACCCCCTCTTACAGCCTAGTTAAATCCCCAAGCATTAGGGGTTAGGGCTTACATATAGTGTGGTCATACAATCAACAGAGGTAAAGTCTTTCCCGTAGGGGAAGCTTCTAGGACAGATTCAGCAGGACGACCGACTCAAGAGCAGAATCCCGTGGGTGTGTTTCTCCTCTTTTTGTCCAACATAGAAACATAATATTAATCATTTGTGTGGACACAGTAAGAGATACATTAAGCTTATAGAATTGCTCTCCTGGGGTCGTCTCGATCTCAGACTACAATGCTCAGGCCAGATTAGTCTTTCCTATCCCTAGCAGGGTTCTAATCTCATTGTTCCATTTGGATCATGACAGCATTTGTCTATGACCATGCTCTCAACTTACAGTTGAGTATTATGGCGCTTTGGCCTGGCCCATTTCGATGCCAGGGTAGCTCACAGCTTTCCCTGGGTCCATTCGGTCCTTCGTGGCAACCCTGCTTTTGGGGTGCTAGGAACTAAGGGCAGCTGAGGCTTAAGTTGAAGAGGCAGATGCCCCAGAGTGGTATTGTTTGGAGACAATTGACTCCCAAGTTACAAAGCATAATATTAACTGTCTTCCTTTGTCCATACAAAAAAGGACATTGCTTTAAAGTAAACTATTCAAAAGATATAAGAAGAGGAGAAAGGCAATTTTAACTTGTAAGTTCAGTGTCCTAGAAGGACAAGTTAACAGAATCTGATTAGAGGAAAAAGATAATTAACTGGTTGGGGAGGAGAGCACAGAGAAGAGTTTACAGATAAGCACACAAAGGAATCAGGAGCACTGTGATGGGTGTAACCCGATAAACCTAAGCTCCCTGTAGCAAGAGAGGACAAACCAATGCTATCCTACAGTCAGGGATGGGCTACATCTCCCCATCTCCCTGTACTTTGGAAGCTCAGCAGAAAGCTACCAATCAGTTGAGACTTCAACTCCAGCTATATCACTCCACTAGAAATTTTGGACGCTCTGGAGTGTCAGACTCTGTAACACTGGTAAACCAGGAGTAGCACACCAGATTGGATGGGATGAAATGTAGAAAACAACCAATTAACAAAATGTAAACACAGAAGACTTCACCTACAACATCTTAGTAATCTTTTATACAAGGGCTTAAGGGCCCCCTGGTGAGATAGAACAATCTTCACTAACTTTCTTCTAGGGAAACACTTTTTTTGTTGTTGTTTTTTTGCTTTTTGGGTCACACCCGGCGATGCTCAGGAGTTACTCCTGGCTCATGCACTCAAGAATCACTCCTGGCGGTGCTCAGGGGACTATGGGATGCTGGGAATTGAACCTGTGTTGGCCATGTTGGCTGCGTGCAAGGCAAACGCCCTACCCACTGTGCTATCGCTCCAGCCCCTTCTAGGGAAACACTTTTGATCTTTTTTTTTAGCAAATTATCTATAACAAACAATGTAAATTATTAAGGGCCTGCTATGGGGACAGGCTCAAGGGAGGTTGGGAAAATTGTAAATAATGGTGGTGGGATTTGGTATTGCAATATTATGGTCATGGTCCTCCCGTTGTTCATCGGTTTGCTCGAGCGGGCCCAGTAACATCTCCATTGTGACACTTGTTACTGTGTTTGGCATATCGAATACATCACGGGTAGCTTGCTAGGCTCTGCCGTGCAGGCGCGATACTCTCGGTAGCTTACCGGGCTCTCCGAGAGGGGCAGAGGAATCGAACTCGGGTTGGCCATATTGGCTGCGTGCAAGGCAAATGCCTTACCTGCTGTGCTATCGCTCCAGCCCATTGCAACATTAATATCTGTAATTAAACTAATGACTTAATAAAGTTATTGGTGGGGGCAGGGGGAAGAAACTGGGTCTCCAGCATGCAGACATGTGCTGCAGGCCTTTGAGCCATCTCACTAGCCTCTAAAGTTTCTTTCTAGGGGAGCGGGGTTGGGGGTTGCATTGCTTAGGAGCTGTTCTTTGCTCTGCTTTGGGGATCATATGGGGTACTGGAACACTGTACTCTGGCCCATTCCTTTATCTTTACACGACCCCTCTCCTTATGTCGTGTTTCTAACTGAACTTTTCACCTCATGTCTTTCCTTATGTATCCCCTCCTTAATATGTGCTGCCACTCTTTTTCTGATCAAAATCTATATTTTCTAATATATATTAGAAGTAACTTCTCCCTCTTTGAACTTCCTCAGCCAGTGTTTAATGTTTTACAATCTTTTATTCTGTTTTTATACCTCGGTAGAGGATGGTTCTTTTATTTTCGACCTGCTGGGGCCTCACATTGAATTGAACCCAAAGAATATAAATTCCTTCGTATGCATTAAATTCTTTGGTTTATTTGTGGTAGTGTTCATACCTTAAATGTGTGAGGTCCTGGGTTTAGTCCTATGCTTTTTTTAAGGCAATAAATATTAAAACTGAAATAGACTCACTTTCAGTATATTATTATCTATGAGTTTTTTTTAAATTAATGAATAATGTCAGGAAAGTGGCTTTGATTAAAAATGAGTCACATGTTGGTAACTGGGTTTGATCCCCAGTATTGCATAATTTCTAAATACTTCTAGGAGCAACCCAAAGATTACTGTGACTCCAAAACAATGACAGTGGTCACATAATTTCAAGATTAGAAAAAGAATGAAAGATGTTAGCATAAAAGATGTTATGGCCCCAGAAGTCTTTGTTGTGACCCTAAAACAAAACAGAAATATCTTAGGACATTAATGTATTCAGTAGTAGAACTCTTTGCTTTTATGAGGCTCTGGGTTGTATCCCTGGAATTCTCTACCACCATCCCTACCACCAAGAATTTTAAAATGTTATTTAAGAATCACATAAACAGGGGGCAGAGCGATAGCACAGTGGGTAGGGCGTTTGCCTTGCATGTAGCCAACATGGCCGACCCAGGTTCGATTCCCAGCATCCCATATGGTCCCCTGAGCATCACCAGGAGTAATTCCTGAGTGCATGAGCCAGGAGTAATCTCTGAGCATCTCCGGGTGTGACCCAAAAAGCGAAAAAAAAAAAATCACATAAACAGATGTTCACTATTATTATCATTTTGTTTTGGGGGCCACATTCAGCTATAACTCCTGACTCTGAGCTCAGGGTCCACTCCTGGCAGGGCTTGGGGGACCATATGTGGTGCTAGGGAACCAATATGGGTCTGTTGCATGCAAGACAAATGCCCTAATCACTACAGTATCCCAACAGCATCTGAGATGGTTCAACATTTAAGTAGTAAAGTTCCTTTGAAAAGACTGAAGAAAAAAGTTCATATTCTTTTTGGAGTTTCAGTTTTTGTGTTTTGGGCCACATCCAGAGTCTGGGATCACTCCTAGCAAGCTTGGAGGATTATATATAGTGCCAGTGATTGAATCGAGGTCCTGGGTTGGTTACATGCAAAGAAGCACCTTATTCCTTGTACTACTATTTCTTCTCTTGGAGTGCTGTTTTTTTAATGGCACTCAGTGCTGAGTGCTTAGAGAGAGGTAACCTTCCCTTTAGATGGAACTCTGACTTAACAGTTAGATTCCATGTAAGATTTTATCTAAAGGGTAAAACAAATGCTTCTGCTTAAGAACATTTATCAGAAGTTGTATTGTCTTGGTGAATGACACTTTTTCCTTTTGCATGAATTATTTTTTGATTTTTAAGGCTTGTGTTTTTAGGGTTTACTCCTGGCTTTATGCATAGGTCTTAATCATTCTGGTGGGTCTTTGGGGCCCATTGGTGGTGCCTGGATTCAACTCTGGCACTATCTTATTTAATGTGTCCTTCACTATATTCACCTTATCCATTCTATTATCTTTCCAGTCCCCAATTTTTCTTCAATTGAGGAACATTGGTATAAGCCATTGTATGTTTCAGACTTTTTCACACCTTTTCAAAGATAAATAGTTACACCATGACCAATGTTAGCACTGTCTGTCTTCCCGTTGTTCATCAATTCGCTCGAGCGGGCCCAGTAACGTCTCCATTGTGAGACCTGTTGTTACTGTGTTTGGCATATTGAATACGTCACAGGGAACTTGCCAGACTTTGCCGTGCAGGCAAGATACTCTTGGTAGCTTGCTGGGCTCTCTGAGAGGGGCAGAGGAATCGAACTTGGGTTGACTAAGTCAGCTGCTTGCAAGGCAAAAGCCCTACCCACTGTGCTATCGCTCCAACCCAACCAACCTTAAAGAGCCAGTATACCTCCTCTACTGTGTGATACCTACTCCAACATTTGTGCCCCTTTTCTCTTCCTAGCTAAGCAACTTCAGTTCTGTGGTTCAGATCCAAGGATTAGGTAAAGATTTTTCTCTTTCTGTTCTCTTGCTATATTTCTTTATATCCTACCAGACTAATATCAGATGTTTGACTATGTTTTTTCTCTTTCTCTTTTTTTTATAATGTAGGAGTACTGCTATTTGTTCAGCCATTGACTAAGTTGATTGAATTGGGCATAAACTCCACATTACTTTTTTTTTTCAATTGTATCACCATGAACTAAGAGTTACAAAGCTTTCATGCTTGAGATTCAGCCATACAATGATGAAATATCCATCCACCCACCCGTAGACATTTTCCACCACCCACGTCCCAGTCCTCACACTGCCACTATGGCAGACAATTTCCCCAATACTCTCTATTTTGGGGCATTGTTTTGCTCAAAATTTCCCATCACCATTCAAGCCTACCTGCCAGGGACAGACGCTAGATAATTTATTTTCCATTGCTCATTTTGAATATCATGAGAGCTCGCACGGCCACGATTGTAAATGTAAATGTCTAGATTGTAAATGGTTGGGTTTCAGAGATACCTCTGTATGGCACTAATCTATTTTGGGCTTCAATTGGGAGTCTCTGGGCCAGGGCTGTTGGTGTGCAAAGATAGCATGCGGAGGCAAATTGTGGGTGTGACAGCCAGCCTACTGGGCAGATGGGGACCTAGGGAGAGACAGCCCAGGTCCTCTGCTGCCATGCAGCCTGGAGATTTAGTCCTAGAACCCACATACTGGTGGTGGTAGTGTGTGTGTGTGTGTGTGGCGGGCGGGGGGGGGGGGGGAATGTTGCTTGTGGAAGCTCTTGGTCACCGGGATTCCTATTGGAGTAGGCGGGGAGAGCGCATCTGCTCCATCTGGGGTGCCCTGGTGAAATTGGCCCAGTATGGGACTTGGAGAGATCTCTGTCGCTGTGGTGTCTTCAGGGACTTGCTGCTGTGTCTCTGGGCCAGGGCTGTTGGTGTGCTAAGATGGTGCCCGGAGGCAAATTGTGGGCGTGACAGCCAGTATGCTGGGCACAGGACCTGAGGAGGGACAGCCCACGTCCTCTGCCTCCATGCAACCTGGAGATTCAGTCCTGGGCATACCTGGGCCTTGCTTGTGGAAGGTCTTGGTCACCGGGATTCCATCTGGAGTAGGAGTTGAGACTGCAACTGCTCCATACGGGGTGCCCCGGTGAAATTGGCCCAGTATGGGACCTGGAGAGATCTCTGTGCTGTGGTGTCTTCTGGGACTCATTGCTGTTGTTTGACCATTTCTGACTTATTTTGCTTAATGTAACACTCTTCAGCTTCATGTCTCAACTAACAAGATTTCATCTTTTCTTGTAGCAAGTAGTATTCCATTATCAGTATTCCTATATCAGTATATCTATGTGTATACACACACACAACTCTTCTTATCTGTCATATACTTTTTTTTTCTTATCTTGGCCACTGTAAATAACACTGTGGTGCTGTTATCGAGGGTTATAATAATTATAAGGATACACAGATATTTGAAAGTTAGTGGCTTTTTTTTTGGTTTGTGTAATGCTTGGGATCAAAGGTGTGGTCACAGTTCATGCAAGGCATATACTCTGCTAGTATTTAGATATTTCTCAACCCTCAAAATAATGTTTCTGTATTCTTTGAATAAGATACCTGTAGTTAAGAGTAGAATTGATGGGTTGCATAGTAGAACTATTTTTATCATCTTGAGACTCCTCATTACAGATTTCCAAAAGACAATGTAGCATCAACAAGTGTTTCTTTCTCTACATCAATACTTGTGGTATTTGTGGTATAGGCAATTCAATGAATAAAACTTTTTCATCAATCAATAAACACTGGGCTGGAGTGATAGCACAGCGGGTAAGGCGTTTGCCTTGCAAGCGGCCAATATGGCTGACCCGAGTTCGATTCCTCCGCCCCTCTCGGAGAGCCCGGCAAGCTACCAAGAGTATCTCGCCCGCATGGCAAAGCCTGGCAAGCTCCCCATGATGTATTCAATATGCCAAACACAGTAACAACAAGTCTTACGATGGAGATGTTACTGGGCCCGCTCGAGCAAATCGATGAATAACGGGAGGACCGTGACCAATAAACACTGAGAACTTTAACTATACTATACCATATATGTATATGCATTAGCCACCTGGGATACAAGGATAAAAACACATGTTTCCTAGAGAGTTTTTCCTGTACAAAATGTCATCCTAATGAGGCTCTCATGAAGACACTAGTAAAGAGCTGTGAGAATGGGGAGAGCAGGGTTGGCAGGGGCCACATCAGACAAGAAGCTTGTGTTGTTAAGAGTCCAGCATTTACAGACTCTTTCAGAAACTTTGCTTTTACTGCTAATAGGGGAAGATTTTTGTTTAATGGCAAAACAATTCATATTTATTATATTACATAAAATCTTATATTCTGATCTTTCATAAATTTTGGTTTTTGCCCACATCCAGCTGTGCTCAGAGCTTACTCCTGACTCCTCTGTACTCCAGGGATTGTACCTGGCAGGGTTTGGGTAACTGTATCTGGTGCAGGGAATCAAATCTGGGTCAGCTCCATGCAAGGCAAGCACCATACCTGCTGTATTGTCACTCTTGTCCTAATTTTAATATTTGGTTTTGGAAATTGTTAGCTGTTATAGGAGCTGTGTGTGTGTGTGTGTGTGTGTGTCTGTACATTTTAAATTTTTCTTTTAACCCCTTTTTATATAGTTTTTAAAATATTAAGTTAACTGCTATCTCCTATTAAAATATCATTGTTGCCTATCCCAAAATATAACTTGAGAAAGCATTAAGGAACTGTAAAGCTAAAGAAAAAACAAGTCTCCATATTTATTTTCTTAAAAATGTCTACTTACATACTTAAGGCTGGAGTGATAGAAAAGCGGTAAGGCGTTTGCCTTGCGTGCAGCCAGCCCAGCTGAGCTGGGTTCGACTCCTCCACTCCTCTCGGAGAGCCCGGCAAGCTACCGAGAGTATCTCACCTGCACGGCAGAGCCTGGCAAGCTATCCGTGATGTATTCGATATGCCAAACACAGTAACAACAAGTCTCACGTTGGAGATGTTACTGGCCCACTCGAGCAAATCGATGAACAACGGGAGGACAGTGCAGTGCAGTACATACTTAAGCTAAAAATGTTTTCTCAGGGGCTGGAGCGATAATACAGCGGATAGGGCATTTGCCTTGCACACAGCCAACTGGGGTTTGATTCCCAGCATCCCATATGGTCCCCTGAGCACCACCAGGGGTAATTCTTGAGTGCAGAGCCAGGGGGTAATTCTTGAGTGCAGAGCCAGGAGGAACCCCTGTCTTCCCCAGGTGTGACCTGACCCAAAAAGCAAAAGAAAAAAAAAAATGTTTTCTCAATGCAGATATACCATACTTTCCATGATGAAGTGGATGAATATCGGCGACACTGGTGGCGCTGTGATGGGCCATGTCAGCACAGAAAACCTTATTATGGCTATGTCAAACGTGCTACTAACAGGGCACCCTCTGCTCATGACTATTGGTGGGCTGAACACCAGAAAACCTGTGGAGGCACTTTTATAAAAATCAAAGAACCAGAGAACTACACAAAGAAAGGCAAAGGAAAGACAAAACTAGGAAACAACTCAGTACCAACTGCAGAGACTAAAGGTAATTTTATGTATTTTCTTCTTTTTCATAACTATGATGAAAGACAGCTCCAGCCTTTAGTGCAGTGTTTCTCGACCTTTTTCTGACTGTGACCCCTTTGTGTCCTTCCTGTCCTACTGTTTTGCCCCTAGGCTTTTGATCCCCTTTTACCTAATTTTCACTAGTGCTACCCCCCCCCCCCCCCCCCCCCCCCCCCGGGATAGCCAAGTCGAGAAACACTTCTTTAGTGACCTGATGAATGTTAAGGTAAGTTGAAGGATATTTTCCTTGCTGGGGATCCCAGGAATACAGCACTAAGCACTTCCTAAACCATTGAGCTATCTTTGGATCCCTTTTTCTCTGGAAATCTCTTAACAGCAGGGCTGTGTGGATCACCTCAGCATATCTGGGCAGAATCAGGGTTTAAACTTGTCATCTTTCTATTACGTGCTTTAAGCCACTAAGATTTTTTTTTGGATGGGGGGTGGAGGGGGGCACACCTGGTGATGCTCAGGGGTTACTCATGGCTCTACACTGAGGAATCACTCCTGACTGGCTCAGGGGGCCATATGGGATGCCAGAGATTGAACCCAGGTTAGTGTGCAAGACAAGAACCCTACCCCTGTACTGTCACTCCAGCCCCAAAGCCGCTAAGGTTTTTTTCCAGGCCTTTAGGGATCACACATTGTAGGAAAGTTCTTATCACCTCAGCGTGTGCTATGGCGCTGGTATTCGAACTGGAAACCTTATTCTTAGCAAGCACTCTAGTTATTGAATCATTTTCTAGGCCTGTACAGATTGTTTCTAGTGGCAAAAAATTCAAGCGTGTACTTAATAAAAAATTTTCTGATCATCCCCAAATTGATGGTAGAAAAATATACTTTGTTCTGTATAGAAGGGAGGAAAAGTAGAAATAAATACCACTGATAACATATGAAGTACAGTCTTTTTCCCTATCTTGACTTAATGAGTCATTAGGAAACAGAAGGGAAAATGATTGCCAAAATAAAAACAATAATTCAAGTAACAATTCCCGGAATGGAAGTCTTAACTACACCCCTTCCTATCAGTTGGATTCTGTCCAAGAGACTTTTCCTATTGATGTATGTATTTTCATTGGGAGAAGAATGGGGAAAGGATATGACAAGCCTATGGTAGTACTTCATCTTCAATTTTTTTTTTCCTTTTCCTATTAAAGTTCAGAGTTTCTGCCTTTTGAGAAGATTAACCAGGTTACTAAAGTTAGTGCTGCTTCCCTTGGGAGGTTGTTTTGATGTGATAAGAACCAAGAACATAAAGCTCATTTCCCAAATCTGAAATGTTAAGTTGAAGAATTTATAAGGAGAGATTATATAGTTTTTGTGTGTTGGAGGAAAGATAACATGTGAGCAGATTTTTCCCAACTGGAACTAAAAGGATACTAAGCAAGATTCAAAGTAAAAGCTATTTTGCTATTGGTCTTTGCATGATCTATCCTTATCTAATGTTCTCTCAGTATCAAAGCTCTGACTTCTGAAGACTGTTGTCCTCCCAGTAATTAGTAAAACATGGATCCAAGTTAGAATAAACTAGTTTTTTTTCACCTTGACAAATATTATCCACTAGCTTACTATGTTATTTTAATTCTGAGTCAAGAAAAAAATCTCTTGCTTCCTTTGCAGATCAATCAAACAGAACCAAGACACAGCTGTTAATTCCTTTCAGTGGGAAAGGATATGTTCTAGGAGAAACGAGCAGTGCACCTTCATCTGGGAGATTTATCACTTTAAATGCTATTAATAATAACCAAGATATTTTAAATCAAGATAATTCAACAAATATTCTAAGACCTAATTTTAAATCTGAGGCGAAGTTTGAACAGAATGATTCAAGTAAAAAAACTCCATTAGTCTCCCTTGTTCGTAGTTCCAGCCACCAAAATGGTATAAATAACTACTTTCCTAAAATATCAGTTGCCAACCAAAAGGCTTTCAGAAATATGAATAGATCTCCAATGGAAAGTGGAATAACTGTGGACATCACTAAAAAATCCTCTACTCCTCAAAGAAGGCCACCATCTTCTAAGATATCTCTTAAAAATTCTTTAAAAGCAGTGGAATTGACATCTGTAACTGCATCTCAGAACATGAGTAGGCCGCCTGAAGATAAAGTTCCAAGTAAACGGCGCAGACTAGAAGATAAAACTATTTTAGACAATTTTCTTATCAAGAAAGAACAATTACCAAGTGGTGGTAATCCAAACAGTAGTTTACATCCTGCAGTGGCAACTCAGAATTCCAGTGGTTCGTCCAGTCAGAGCAAAATGGTGAATTGTCCTGTTTGTCAGAATGAAGTTTCAGAATCTCAAATTAATGAACACTTAGATTGGTGCCTTCAAGGTGAAAATATCAAAATCAAAAGCTGAAAAAAAACTTTGAAAATAATGGGTTTCACATAAATATTACCTCACTTGGTGTAATGAGTCAGCCCTCAGGAATTTCTGGCTAGTACTAAGTTTGTATGTTATAATCTAGTTTATATAACCGATACAAAATATTGTTTTATATATGCTTATATGAGATTGTAATTAAAAATATTTTGTCTAAAGGTGCTATATTTACTCTTGCCTTACAAGTACTGTAGCTATTCTGCATATACATGTTTAATTTTTATAGATTTTTGTTCCTTGCGCTTAACGGTTTTTAAATGTGCCAATAATTTTAGTTATCTACTTTCCTCAAAACATTCAATGAGGAATACTATCAAGTATTTGGTGAAATTGATCATATTTTATTAATTTATTCCCAGAACTGTTAATACTGTCAAATATAAAGACCAAAATCATAATTGAATACAAAGTATGTTGTATTAGGGGCACTCAGGTTTTTAAAATTGAAAAAGGACCTTAACCTAAACTATGTTTTCTGTATTTTAAAGGATTTACTGTTTCACTGAAAAGTGGAAGATTTCAGATTGAAATTGATGCATCTAGTATAGGAAAATCAGTTTATTTCAGACTATACTAGTAGTAACAAACAGCCCCTGTAGACCAGGGGTTAGCTGTTTTCTCAAAATTTAGCAAGGAGCATGGTTAAGACTGCTGAGTACCTTCTATTTCTCTATAGCAAAGCAAAACTGCCTAGCTTATGTAACAGTGAAACATGTAGAACCATTAACCTTGAGCCAAAGTGAAGCCATTGTACTAAAAGGGATATTGTTTTAAAATTATTTTTAAAAACATTCAATATAGTTGAGGGTCAAAGATAATTTAATCAGTTTACTGTCTCCTGGTTACAGATCCAGTATATTGGCATTTGCAACAACTTTAGTTCACTTGTCTTTTTAAGCTGTTTCAGTATCAGTTGAACACGTATAAGTTGTCCAAATTGTGTTGTGCATCCAGGTAAATTTTTACTTAGCCCATCAAAGACGGAAAAGATTTTGGCTTTCATAGAAGGTGTCCTTTATGAAGATGTCCTTTACCACCCAGAATCCTCAGGAGCATTATTTTTATTCACAGGTTAGTGTAGCTTGTTTCTGAATGCCATATCTTAGTTTCAGAAGTCCATTCTCTTTTGATGCTTTGTAGTATGTGACTCACAATTTATCTATTCTATTAATGACCATTTGAATTATTTCTAGGTGGCTGTTTATTATGAATGATGCTGCTTAAAACTTTCCTTTTTGGTTGCTAGAAGCTGGGATGAGGGGATGAGGGAGGAGTGGGGAGTTAGTATTACTTTTTGTTTTATGGTGCAGGGGACTGAACCCAGGACCTTACACATGCAAGGCATGGGTTCTACTGCAGCCATATCCATGCCTTTGGGACACTGTTTCTTTTGGGCTGGAACTGCTGTCACAAGGTGTATTTGTTTACCTTTAATAAATACTGCCAGTTTACACTCCTACCAGCAATGTATGAGCGTTTTAATTGTTCAGCAGTTTTTTAATTATTCAGTACTTTTCAATTCTTTCAGTTTTAACCTGTCTGATTGTTTTCAAGCTTTGGTGTTTTTGTTTTGGGGCTATACCTGGCAGTGCTCAGGGCTTACTTTTGGCTCTACACTCAGGAATCATTACTGGTAGTGCTGCTTGGGAGACCATAATGGGGTGCTGGGCAAATAACCTGGGCTGGCCATGTGAAAGGCAAGTGCCTTTCCTATGTACTATCTTTCCAACCCCATTTTAATACTTCTAAAAGTACTTATAAATTGTGGCCAGAGAGAGAGAGTACAGTGGTTAGGGCACTTGCCTTGCACAAGGCTAACAATGGTTCCCCAAGCACAGCCAGGAGTTTCCTGAGTGTAGAACAAGTAGTAACTCCTGAGAATTGCCAGGTGTGGCCAAAAAGAAAATAACCAAAATTCAGGATTTATAAAATATGTACTATATTGAATACATGGTGCAGAGTTTCATAGAGGATTTTCACTCAGTATTAGAAATTTTGTGCAGTTTTGGAGCCAAACTGTACAAGCTTCTGACGCTCTGACAGGCAGTTATGCTTTCAAAGAGCTTTCCAGTCTAGTTGAGACAAAAGTAGGTTAAATTCACTAAAGTAAGTGCAGTGATGGGTTTCTGCAATGTTAATGGAAACTACCAGCACAACCCAGAGTTTCCTGGAAGGACGTGGGTTCAATCTTCTAGAGTGAATCAAGTCAGCTTAGAAGGGCCTCACAGATAGATGGAACATCAAAAATTGGAAACAGACTAGCAAATTCTACTGGGAAACTCAAGCTGATCCAAGTAAGTACAATATAAAATAGGTTAAGACAAGACTTTTGAGGGTAGTTTGTGTAGTCCCTAATAACATGGCTGTGCATAAGACTGGAAAAGTTTGTAAACTTATTCAAAGTGTTTTGATGAATTCTCTGGCAGTAGGTGTAGAGTTAATGGCAGAAAAGGAGGCAAGAGAATGGGTCTGAGTAATACTTAAGATGGTGAAACCTATGATGCTTAAGAAAATGAAAATAGACAAAACTGAAGTTTATTTAAAATTTGGAATTGTTAAAATATTGCAAAAAATGCACCCTAAGAATTCCACTTACTCAAAAATTTTAGTCATTTATAACAGTTATGCTTTGGTTCAGGTTTTTTTCCCTTTTATTTTTAGTGAAGCAAACTACCTGTTATTAAAAAGATTAGATGTGAAGGGAGAGAAGAGAGGAATATGTGTTCAAGAGAATACAGACTTGAAAAGCTGTTTTTTCTCTTTTAAATAAGTAAATTTTTCCACCCTAGCAACATCTAGTCTGAGAAAATCTTTTAATGTTATTGCCCTTCATTTTAGGGAGATGAGCTCAGGAAGTAGTCTTGTGGGGATGAGGGGTTGGGGCCACACCTGGTGGTACAAGAGCTTACTCCTGGTTCCTGTGCTAGTAGGGATCTGGCAGTGTTGGATACAGGGGTCCAGTGTGGGTCAGTCACTTGCACAGCAGTGCCTTACTCCTGTGCCATCTCTCTCACCGGAGTATTCTTTATTTTTTTCTTTTGGTTTTTGGGCTACACCTGGTAATGCTCAGGATTTACTTCTGGCTCTGCACTTAGGGATCACTCCTGGTAGGCTCAGGAGACAATATGGAGTGCCAAGGATGGAGTATCTCTCTGCTTCTCACCCCCCCCTCCCCCGAGTATTCTTTATTTCTACAAAAATGTGCTTTATAGTCATGGTTATATATTACCTAAGAAAATTTCGTTTTGCTTCCATAGAGTAGAAATTTCTTAAATAGAAACTCAAACATGGGGCGAGGGAAATGTTGCAGGCAGATAGGCATAGTACCATAGTATACATGTACTTTTGGGAAATAAAATTTTAGAAGATTGTCTAGCCCTGAAGTAGCCCAAAAGCATGAAGACCACATCCCTTTGAAATACAAGTCCTGAGTTTTTTGGAGAGGAGAGACTGAGGCACCACCCAGATATATAAATCTAAGGCCCCATCCCAAGAAGGTTGGGCCCCTCAGAAAAGAATTTACAGAAGAATCTATGAGATTATGAAAAGGCCATTAATAGTGCAAGGCTTCCCTCTGACAAGGCCCAAGTTAACTTTTATGCATGCGAAACTCAAAAAAAAATTTGGAAGAACTTATAAAAGCTTCCAAAAGGCATTTGGGACTTGGTCTTCAAGTCCATGTTTGTATCTTGCTTGCTTGACTCTTATGTCTCTGCTTTTTCCACTCTGGAGAAGCCTGTATTCTTCCTTGAACATGTATATCCTCTCTTTCTTTCCCCTCATATCTAAGTTTCTATAAAAACACAAACAAAAAACAACTATCTTGCTTCACAAAGAAAAAATAAATTCAAACACTGGTGGGAAAATATAGCAAACTGTTGTGGGCCAGTGATCAGTGATGGAACTCAGCAGTAGAATACTTGCTTTACAAAACCAGACTAAAAAAATTATCGTCCTTTAGTTTATACATATATATGTATGTATATACATTTATATATATACACATATATAGATACAATAGATATTTCTATAGATCATACACACTGTTTTTTGCTTGGTTGGGCTCACAACCATGGGTGCTCAAGGCTTACAGTTTTTACTGCAAATTAATTGCCTAGGTAATTAACAGGAAAGAATACAATGTTGAGATTAGGTCTGGCTTTTTTTCCATGACATTCACTAGAATATTAAAAGCTCTATGATCACAGCATAACTGCAGCAGTGGAATGAAATCCCAGTAATACTCCTACTACTTATGATGGGGCTGTATGGTGTTGGAAGTTACCAGGGCCATATCCAGTAATACTGGGTAAGGGTAATCGCAAGACCCAATATTAAATCATGGCCTTGAACAAGCTAGACATGTGCTCTACCACTTGAGCTAGCTTTTTAAGCCCCCCATAGCATAGGTTTTGTAATGAAAAGATGGACCTGACCTTAAGTGAGTCTGGTGTCACATTGTAGTTTACAATAGCAATACAGAAAAATTCTTTTTCTTTGGTGTGAATGGTAAACCTACCAAAAGATTTCCCTTCATGAATACCAGATGGTAAGTTAGATTTTTTTCTGAAAAACTGAAGCTATGTCAAATGGACAAAAAGATTTGTTGACAACTGAAACAATAACTGGCACTTTCTGATAGAAAAAGATAGTTATAGTCCCAAGTTCTGTGAGAGGGATCAAGGCAGACCAGAAATGTGAGAATGTGGGCCTGTTCAAAATAAGATCTACACGGTACCGAATCTTTAAAGTCCTTGTCTCCTTTCCCTTCCTTCACTTCCCACCTCTCCCTCCCCTCCCCCTTCCTTTCCTTCCTTCCTTGTGGGGGCCACACCCATTGATGCTCAGGGGTTATTCCTGGCTCTGCACTCAGGAGTTACTCCTAGTGGTGCTTGGGGGACCATATGGGATACTGGGGATTGAGCCTGGGTCAGCTGCATGCCCAGCAAATGCCCTACCGGCTGTCCTATCACTCCAGCCCTTCATTCTTTCACTCTGAACATTAATGTAAGAGTCTCCAAACAAGTAACCAGGAATGGAAAAACGCTAATCCCAAAAGAAGTCTTCCAGACACTGTGGAACCTATATTTCTATTTCTTTGAAATGATGTCTTTGTATAGCTAATACTTATCACTGTGCTCCATGTAGTCTAGTTTGAAAGCTTCCTTAGGATATTAATGTCTTTCCCCCTCATCAGAAACACTGACAAAGACCCTTCTCTTAGATTTTTGGTAGTGAGTAAAATGAGCAGGCATTTCTCAAGTTCGAATGTTACCAGCTTTTGCCAGAAACACCTAAATGAGCACTGACTCTTTTACATTTTTCCTCTCCAGCCCCCTCCCCCCCACACTAAATCAAAGTGTGTTCTCAAGCTAGAATACTCAGAAGACCAAAAATTATTCCAAGTTACAAGCATTCCTTGCAAATCCAACATGTAGTACTCAGGGGTCACTCCAAGCTGTGCTATGGGGACCATATGTAGTGTGGAGGTACTGGAGTCAGTTGCATGTACAAACACCTCACCCCTTGTCCTGCCTTTCTGGCTTTTCGCCAGTTGCTTACACCAAATATCTAAAGGCTCCACAAAGAAAGGCTGGAATCTAGCTTTTTCACATGTCTGTAGAGTCATCCATATTATTCATAGATTTTTCATTTTTAATTCCAATAACTACCTCTAAAAGCTCCACAAGAAGAGGCTGGCATCTAGCTTTTTTACATGTGTGTTGTCATATTATTTGTAGATTTTTAATTTCTATTCAATAGAATTTCATTGTGTAAATATATCACAGTGCATCTATTCACTCTTTTAATACTGGGTACTTCACTGTCTTAATTTTATATTAATATAATTTCTTTGCTTTCACCAACTATTCTTCCACTTTTTTAGCTTTACTTTTTCTTTTATTTTGCTCACAGATTTTTCAATACCTAATTTCAGATATTAATGTATTTTGAGGGCTGGAGTGATAGCACAGCGGGTAGGGCATTTGCCTTGCACACAGCCAACATGGCCGATCCAATTCCTCCGCCCTCTCAGAGAGCCTGGCAAACTACCAAGAGTATCTCGCCCGCACAGCAAAGCCTGGCAAGTTCCCCGTGGCGTGTCCGTTATGCCAAACACAGTAACAAGTCTCACAATGTTACTGGGCCTGCTCGAGCAAATCGATGAACAATGGGAGGACAGTGACATTGACAATGTATTTTGAAAAGTCCTAACTAGGGATATTTAATTCAGGTGTTGACAGAGAAAGGGATTTGTGTGGCTTACTGAGATTCTCATTCAAGAGTATACTACAGTGTCAGCAAAGTAAAAAACAGTATTCCTGAAAAGTAACTCTATTGTGAGGTGGGAAGAGGCTTCTATACATACATATCTTGCTTCCTTAGTTCATTTTATTATCATCAAACCTCCGGGAGACATCTCATCTCTTCTCAGAAATGTTGCC